TTATTGTCTTCCCTAATGTTAGATCTTGAAGACCTAAAAAGCCTTCATCATCCTGTAATGATTTGATTAGTTCTATAATATGCAATAAGTATATAAAGTGGGTGAAGATGGGAAAACTATTTGTAAGAAACTGGAGACAGTTAGATAGACAGTGAAGATCTCCAGTGGACTTGCTTTGAAATCTGTATTTCTTTAAATTGTTTTTTTAACTGTTTTGTTCTGTTTTGATATGTTTAATCTTACCCTCTTTGAGATGTAAAACAAATGTGTAGGACTGATAACCATATTACTGAGCTTTTGTTTGATCATAGAGCAGAACGGTTTGTAGTGTCACTTTTTGAATGTCATTCTAAATACTTTAATTCTGTAACCTGAGCAGCTATTTCGAAGATGACAATATGTAACTTATCAACCAGCAATTTCTTACCATTTGTTTTTCTGTAATTTTGTATTATTTGTACCTTTTTTTTTATCTCCATGTATTTTTTTTGTTTCCTTTTCTTTAAATAAAAAAATAGACAGCTGCCTAGCAATGAGAATGCCATGAGTATGTGTGTGTGTGTGTATGCGTGCACACCTGCTGGTGTTCAAATCCAAGCCGTTGCACATGCTTTACTCCTGAGCTACACCACAGCCCAGTGTCAATGTATTTGATAGCATTGATATGGAAACTTAGAAATGGTTAAAGTGGTAAATTTTGCGATGTATATTTTGCTGCTCATTATCGAAAGAAAAGGTGTAGCCTCGTGGATGCAGCCCTCGCAGTAGGTGAACTGTCAGAGCATGTTTTTGTTCTCTCTCTCTGAATGTGTGTTGCTAAGGAACTTCCATGGGAAGCCGAAGACCACGTGGAAGCCTTTGAGTTGCTTGACCTATGGTGAGAGATACAGGCCACTTTGCCACTTTGCAAGCCATTCCTTCCTTCCCTCCTCTACATCTCCTCTCCTCGCACACTTGCTTGGCTCTACTGATAAACATTTTGACTCTGCCATAAAATCATAGCTGGATCTATGTACAGCATTCCTATCCAAAAAAGCAATGGCTTTTTTTGTACCTTCCTTGCCCTGTTTCCTTTTACCATCCATTCTGTAGGACATCTACTAGTGTGATCCTCTTAACCCATAGACCAAAACGTATCACGTCCACCTGCTCCCCAAAGTATGAGATTTAAACACGCTTTAAAAAAATACCACTCTAAAAAAAGGAGGAGCTAGGGATTTAGCTCAGCAGCATAAGCACCTGCCTTTGCAAGCATGTGGTCGTGAGTTTGATCCCTGGTACACATAAAAAAAACCCCAAAACACTCTGCTATTGAAAGCCCCTAGTGATTCCTAACCGTGTTCAAATAAAACCCAAATTGCATCCCGCAGAGCCCTTTGAGATCTGGTGCCTGCTCGCCTCTGGGACCTCAGCATGTCCCGTTTCCTTCTCCCGTTATGCCGTGGTCACACTGGCCTTCCTTTGGCAGCTGCAACTGCCTTATTCATTCCTTCTCAGTGTGGGTCCCACTTTCCAACCAGGCTCCTTTCCCCAGATGTCCTGCTGTCTGCAGTATTCTTCCTCTACTCTCTGCATAGCTGTGACTTTCTGACCACATGGGAAAACATGCCCTCTGCAGAGATGAGCACTGGGGCCAGCCAGTGCCCTGCCACCCTGCTCATGTTCTCTGCTATCAGATCCTCCTTACAGTTGCTTGTCATTTCTTACTTCCAACCAGCATGTGAGCACCAGGAGAGTTGGGGGCCTTGTCATGTGATCACCTCTGTGCACCAGGTCCCTGGCCAGTCCTGGGGTGTAGAAGGCACTGAGACCATAGTCACTGCACATGAATGAATGCCACAGCATTGAAGCGATATGGCACTGGTGGAAGACACACTTGCCTGTGAGTTACTTGGATTTCCTCTCCGTCCATTTCTCCTGTTACATCTTCTGAGGCTAATTTCCACCTTTGATCCTTGCTGTTTCACTTCAGTTTCCCATGAGTGTCAACTCTTCACATTTTCTCCACCCTGATGAGCTCACTTGTCATAAGCATCCTCTAAGGCCCTGCCCAGAGCCAGCCTGCAGCTCCCTCTGCCACCAGACAGGCACACATGCCTGAAAAGAGTAGCCTGTCTCATGTCCCTACGTCACACGTCTGGGGAGTTGAACCTGAGTTCAGGGGACACAGCCTCTCACAGGCAAAGGCGATGGCCAGCAGTGTGTGTACTGCCATTGGCTTTGGCGCTGAGATGCTCACTGGGAATGGGCAGGCAGGGTGAGCTTGCCTCTGGGCTCTTCTAGTCCTGCTCTCCTTCCTGTTTCTTGGCTCTGTTCTGCTGGCTCCAAGGCACTTGCCTGTGTCTCCTGACTCTGCAGCTTTCCAGCTGCCCAACTCAGACCCTGGAGTATGAACTCTCTCTCTCTGTCTGTCTCTGTCTCTGTCTCTGTCTGTCTGTCTCTCTCTTGCATTGTAAGGCACTGTGTGTCTTTTTTGTAACTTGCTTCCTCACTGAGTTATGAGGCATGAGGCTCTCATTAAAACAACTTTTTTTTCTTTTCTCAGTACTAGGGATTGAACCCAATGTACTGAGCTACATCCGTAAATATTAATTTTTTTTTAAATTTTGAGACAATATTACAAAGTTGCTAAGTTGCCCAGGCTGCACTCGAAGTTACAATCCTCTTGCCTCAGCCTCTCATACAGGCATCTGCCACTACCTGGCTCCATTAAAGCAAGCTTTAAAAATAGGCAAGAAGAAGATGACCATTTCTTGAGTGTGTCCTGGGTACCAGCTACTCTGCTAAGCCATGTGTCTCTATTGTATCTTTTAATTCTCTGAATTCCTTGTCAAAAGACTCTCCATCTCCCCAGTGAGGGAGCTGACCCAAGAGGATTTATGGAACTCTCCAGACCATGACTGATGCAGAGCCCATGGCCCTGGGGGAATGAGGCCTTCAGTGGGAGACCCAGAGCAGCAGGGATGCTGGGGGCAGCAGGTGGTGCACGGCAAGGTCCATTTGTAAAAGGAGCAGCCATTTTCAAGTTTTCAAGTAGCAGTCTCAAGGAACAGTCACACCAGGGTATAATCTAGCAGGGTGCTTGGGAACAGTGAGCCCCATAGAGCTTAGGCTGATTCCAGCTTTGTCTTACTCTGGCTGTGAGCTCTGTGCAAGTTACCTAGCCTTTCGGATATTCAGTACCTTCATGAATACATGAGAATGACAGTACCTGCCTCGGTGGTAATCACATGTACATGTGAGTACAGAGCATAGTATTTGGCATATTCTAGACAGGAAAAGCAATTTCTAATAATTTTATTAGATTTCCCCATTGATCTTTCACTGTCTGTTTCCCCATCTCCTGCCACTGTACTGAAGCTAGAGACTGTCCATGTCTGCTCCTGAAAGTCTGTCTTCTGGCTGTGGCTAATGTAGATAGAAAAGTTTGAATGAGCACTGGATGAGACAAGGCAGCTGAAACTTTGGTTTTAATCTATAGATTCCTATCCCCTTCCCCACCATGATAGCTATGGAAATTTACAATTGCTATCTGTGGCATGGATATTTACTTATGTGGCTGAGCAAAGTTGCTTGGTTTTGGTTGAGAAGAAGGATTATTTCTACTATTTAAAGTCTGCACCAGGCGCAGTTGTTGGAAGTACTGAGCATCTTACCTAGATCAGTGAAAGATCAAGGGGAACAATCTGCTCTCCCTGTAAGTGGAGCTCCCTTTAGAGAACAGCTTTGCACAGAAGCCTTCTGAATAAGTGGAAGTTAGGTATTGTGCTCTCCTTTCCCTGAATTTTGTAATTGTTTTGGGTAAATAATGTAGCAAATGATATATCTTACCTTTTGGCTTTGAGTTTCTCTGTTTTCACTTACCCTGAGTCCATGATCTTAAAATAGATAGTTATGTCTAGTTAATGAACCTTATAATTTAAACAGACCCCACAGGAGTCCTATTATAATGTTAGATGGGCGAAGTGCCAGGCATACTGGATGGCTTCAGGGATAGAGCAAAGACAGAGATGGAAGCTGGGGACAGATGGACCTGAGCAGTTGGACCCCACTCTGGGCTGAATGCCTATGTCCAGGGGCGGGATTAACCCTGGCCTGTTTTAGGTAGATTACCAACCAGGAAGCCAGTATTTGGGTGGGTCATGACAGCCAAGTGTGTGTGCTGGGAGCAGTGATTTGCCCGATGGACAGCAGTTGCATTTTGCAACCATACTCAGGGAGAATAGGGTTTAGTCCACACAGATCAGGAGGGAACGAGCATGTTAATGCCATTCATATGGACTAAGCCAGTCCCTGATATTGGTGTAGGGAATACAACAACTTCCATGGTCCACAGGAGACTCAGGCATGGGGCAGTGGGCACACCCAGCTTGGGACAGACTGCTCTCCATGGAAATCTCTCAGAACTGAAACTGCAGAGCTCAATGACCATAGCTGACCCTGTCCCCTCCTTTTGACTAGTGTGATTCTGTACTTTTATAACACAATTTCATTTATTTCTGAGTAAGTGAACGTCAGAGAGAGCTAGGGTTATAAAAAGATTCCTCTACTGAAAAAGTAGAAGTTACCTGAAAATCTACTTAAGACCTTTACTGTAAGACTTGCTGAGACACCTTTGCTCTCAAGGTATCTATTAATTGTATCTATTAATTCTCAGAACTCCCCATGGGAAGGTCCATTTCCTTGGTGAGGAAGCTGACCTGAGAGAAGTTGCAAAAGGTTCTGGAGCCCACGTGCCTACGGTTTTACATTAAAATCACCTAGATGGCTTACCACAAGTGATTGCTGGGCCTCCTCCTCAGAACTGCTGAGTCAGTGTGTCTGAGCGGGGGGGAGAGCCTTTGTATTTCCAAAAATGTGGGAGTCACCTTTGAAAACCACAATCCCAGAGTAATTCATTTCTTCACTATGCTCTGAGTGTAAATTTTGTATTTTTTGTTAATTGCACCACTGGTACAGATATGCTGTATTGATCTGCATGTCTTTGTCTCTTTGAACAGATATTTTGATGTTGGACTACATAATTTCTTAATCAGGTAAGCCAGTATTTTTTTAGATAATGTTGAATAGCATGTCTACTTTGGACATTGTGATTGAAAATAAATTCTTGTTAAATATGTTGATAAATAATGATAACTGTATATTTGTCAAGAAAACACTGCCAACACTATGTTTTTGGGTTAAACAGTCAAGGAAACATGTTTAAAGTGGCCTTATGTCTCAGCTGATAGTTAGCCAAGTTCTGAATTCCAACTATTGAAGTGCTGGAAAGACGAATAGAAAAGTGAATAGTGTCAGCTCATGTTTGAATGTTAAACTACCCATGTAACCAGTTTCTCCCTGTTGACTTTAATATTTTTAAAATGAATCTACTGCTCATTTTACAGTCACAAAAATACAGCCTTGTACAAATTGAAAGAGATTATAGGTAGCAATTTATATCCAAGTTTATTGGTGATTTTAACCAGAGTTGGCTTATGGGGCATATTCATTTCAAATAGTTATTAAGTCAAAAATTAAATGGAAATGTACCAGAATATTAGTAGTTTTATAAGAATATATGTAATTTTTAAAGTCAGCATTGCTGTTTTTCTTGATTTTTGATACCATGTATGTATCACTATAATAGTGGTAAAAATGATTATTAAAATGTCTGTCAAAAATATGTGAAGGAAGCAATAATAGTTGCAAAGGAACCACTGTAAACTAAAGGTGGTATCTTGTAGAGTGACTTATGTAACTCTAAATGCTAATTAATTCTGACTAATAGTCTGCTGAAATCTGTAGATCAGTTGTGATTTTTGTCTAGGTGTTATATAAAACAGTACATGGCTGCCTCCCTGCTGGTAAGGTGTTCTCTGAAAGGAATGTCCATAATTCATAACATCTTTGTCCTCCATGCTGGGTTGCATATGGCAGTGCTCTAAGACGGGTCACACATACTGTGTCCTCTATTCCAATGCCTATTCTAGGACTATACATAATAATCACCTTGGCCTATCCCAGGTCCAAGGAATGGGGCTGTCCTTGGTTTTCTCCAGGATTGCACTCACAGATGGAGATATGTAAACAACTATGCTTTCCTAGCAAAGGGACTACATTTTAGCAAAGAGATAAAAGGCTGATCAGAGGAAGCTGTCTACTACACATCTGGGAATAGTAGGGTTTTTGGGCTATGTCTCTGGGGCTTTGCACTATAACTCTGTAGTGGTGGACCTAAGTTTATAACTTTCCTAAGTGCAGGAAGCATGACTTAATCAGTGATTAATAATAAATTCAGAAATGTATATAGACTCACCCTTCAGGAAGTATTTGCAGTAGGAGCGAATGAATGGAAGAGAAGACAAGGAGGGAAGGTGGGATTGAAAAACCACTGTTTGTTTACTCAGCAAGTTATTATGAAGCCTACTGCAGCCATGTATGTGGCCATGTCGGGAAGACTGTCGTTCACAGCAGTCTGTCCCTGTACTTACACTTGCTAGGCAGTGTGAGCTAGGCATGTTATGCTTTGGCTGGGCAACCCGCCTCCCTTCCCTTGTTTGGACTCAGCCATTCTCCTAACTTGGTCTGGAGGAGAAAGAGGGAGCACTGCAGTAACTCTAAAATAGCTGATGCTAGAGAAATGACTAATTTTAATGAATTCAGGTTCTTTGTCTCATGAAGTTGAAGAATAAACTAATGGGCAAGCAGAAGAATTTAGGAAAGTGTTCTGTAAAAATAAAAAGAAGGAAAAGCTCTTGGTGGATACCCAAGAGAACATTTCAAATATAAGTCCCATTTCTTTGTTTTGGGCTTACGTACAGGGACTTGTTTTAAATAGATGGCGTTGTGGGTTTAGAATTAAAAGAAATTAGTTATTTAGCTGGTTTACAGGAAACTGACTTCCAAGGAAACTGGTTATGTTGCATTTTAAGTTTTTCTAAGTCCAGCCCTTACAGAGAAACTGTCAACTAACTTAACATACCTTCATTTTGGGAGGAAAGGTCCTCTTCTCCTTCTGATTGTAACTGTTCTTGTGTTTACCTTTGCATCTCTGAGTTTAGTTTTATAGCTTATATTATTAGTTCCTAACTCAGGTGGGCTATTTTATTTTATCTGATCCTATCATTAGATGTTCTGACTGCTTTACTCATAATAGCTAAACTGAATTACTCTACAGGGATCCCTTTGACCTGGCAGGAGACATTTTTTTGCAGATACTAGAAGAAGCTCTAGCTTAGTTACTGTCTGAGCTATTATTTCTCATTGTTGAGATTAAATACCAACACCTCACATTAAAGAAGAAAGAATTTATTGTAGCTCAGTTTGAAGAGGTTTCAGATCCACCTCTGCCTGTTGGGTGTGGCCATTGGAAGGCCCTTTCCTCTGGGTGCCCAGCGCGGGCAGAGAGAGCCAGAAGATGTGCCTCTGCCTGTTGGGCACCACCAGTGGAAGACCCTTTCTTCTGCATACCCAGTGTGGGCCAAGAGAGAAACAGACAGATCTACCTCTGCCTGCCATGTGCTGCCACCAAGAGACCACATCTTGCAGGCGGCCACTGTGGGCAGAGAGAACCAGATCTGCCTTCATCTTTAGGGAGCTGCCACTAGAAGGCTCCTTCCTGCAGTCAGCCAGCAGGAGCAGGGACACACAGCCAAGTAAGCTCTGTGCATCCTCACGTAGGCCACCACTGGAGGCCCTTTGTTCCCTCAGGCAGCCATCATCCACTAGCAGAATCAGACAAATATACCCTCTATGTCTGCCAGCATCATAAATGTCCCAGTGTAGACACACAGGCTGAGAGAAGCAGCCCCACCTCCATGCACCCCTGATCATCAGAGAAGCCCCAGTGGAGCTATACAGGTCTGGAGAAGCCCATTCTATGGCCTGCTACTTCCCTGTAAATGTGGAATTAGAGGAACCCAGGTACCTGTCCCACCTACACTGCCTAGGAGCAGCCAACATGGGAAGTGCCTGGGGCCCCACAACTAGCTTATTGGGAGAAACCTAGGAGAAAGTCAAGATGAAGGAGCAAAAGGTAAACTCAGACCTCTAGCCCACACAGAATAAGTCTGGGAGATACAGTCATGGAAGAAAAGGGAAGTCACACAGCTGAAAGCTCTGAGAGAATAGCAACTGAAGTACGGAAACAACTTCATGAGATTGTAAGAGCAGTCCAATCAGAAATAATGTCTCAGAAACGAAGAAATCACAAACATACTGAAAGAATTGTTCATCAGGTCTAAAGAAGACACAGACAAAAAAGAGGAGCATAGGAAAATGATAGAAACCTTGAATGAATGTAGAAAGAAATTACAATGCATGAAACAGATTCAAAGAGAGATGCAGGGAATTAAAAATTCAATCGAAAGCTGGCAAAACCACCTGAAAGAGACTGAAGACAAACCTTGAAGTTGCAGCTAGTGATTGTGAAAGGAAAGATCTCTTAAAATAACAAAGAATCAGGACATATCTCAATGGCTGCAAGATGACTCAAAGAAGCATAACTTAAGAATGAGAGGTGTAAGTGAAGAAGCAGGGTCAACACAAATGAAATTAAAAGGCTATTTACAGAAGTAATAGAAGAAAACTTCCCAAAAATGGGAAATGCATCTGGCATGCAGATAAGTGAGGCATATGGGATTCCAACTAACCATAACCAAAGTAAATCTACACCCAAACATATAATAATCAAGATCACAGAAATTCAGCACAAGAACAGAATATTAAATGCTGCTAGAGAAGAGACAGATCACCTATAAAGGAAAGCCAATCAGAATCACAGCAAACTTCTCAACACAAACCATCAAGTCAAGAAGAGTTTGGAGTGAAGCGTTTCAAGCCCTGAAAGAAAACAACTTCCAACCCAGATTGATCTACTCAGAAAAACTATCTTTCAAACTTGATGGAAAAAGGGGTTGGGGATTTAGCTCAGCGGCATAAGCGCCTGCCTTGCAAGCAGGCAATCGTGAGTTCAATCCCCGGTACCGATAAAAAGGAAAAAGACAAAAAAAAAAAAAAAAAAAAAAAAAAAAAAAAAAAGAAAGCAAACTTGATGGAAAAATAAGATACTTCCATGATAAAGAACAACTGAAGGAATTCATGACTCCTAAACCAACCCTACAGAGAGTGCTAAAGGATGTTCTAGAGAGAGATAAAGCTGACCATAGTTCCAGGAACAGCAGCAGAGGAGGATCACCAAACAAGACAGACAAATGAATGAAGGGGAAAAGTTAAGGGAAAACAACAGGTGGATACATGGCAGAGACAAACCAATGTATGCTGGTTGTAACCATTAATGCAGATGACCTCAGGTCAGCAATAAAAAGAAACCCAGGGAGCGTGGATCAAGAAACAAGATCCATCCATATACTGCAAAAAGAAACACATTTAACTAGAAAGGAAATTCATAAACTGAAAATCAAAGGAGAGAAAAAATTGTTTCATGTGACAGGAGACCAGAAAAAAAAAAGCAAGAGTAACTTGCCCATCAACTGCAGAATGGATAAGAAAGACACAGTATTTTCATGCAGTGGAAAGCTACCCAGCTATAAAGTAAGATAATCTCAAGACTCCTGTAGGTAAATGGACACAACTGGAGATCATTTTTTGTGGGTGAATCAGTTTGGAACTTGTAAGTATGAACCCTAGCATAAGAAATAAAAAGAGTTAATAGGATCCAAAAGCAAAATAGTTAATGTAAGAACAAAGGGAAGGAAACACCTGGGAGGGAAAAATGGAAACTACTGTTAATTTCTTATAGTCTTGTCTTGAACTCTTGCATTGTTTATACAATTTTGTTAAGACTGGCTTTGTTCTGTCTTCTTTTGTTAGATTTTATGCTGTCAGATGGCAGCTATTTTGAATATAATGGAATATATTATGGTAATCATGGTTTCCTAGTATATTGCTTTGAAGTCTTATAATGCTTTCGTTCATTTGCTTGATTGGTTTTATTCTGTTATTTGATTTTATTATTTATGATGGTATGAATAGCTATTTTGAAAAAAAACAAGACATGGTAGCCATTGCTGATTTACTATCATCTTGTTTTGAA